CATTTCGTGTATATACGCGCGAGTACGCCCTTAACAATTTGAGTTTTAATTACGTAAAATCGCTAATTGCGGTAAAACGAATACTCGAGTAAACTCGGCTCGGGTTTTAACGAGAATCGTATGCGTACGTTATTATATATATTTCTACGGCATAAAAGACAAAAGCCCAGCGACACAGCACTCGTATACCTACATATATATATATTTCCGGAGGGGCCACGCTCGGCACAGGTTTACATCTCTGTCTACTCAGTCAGTCTGTCTGTCTGTCTCTCTCTCTTGGGCGAATTATACAGTTATCATAATTACCCCATTAGCGGCTTCGCGACAGTGACCGCAATTACGCCGCCTAGACTGTATCTAATGTTGAACCCACCCACCCCCGCGCATACACGATGCGCGTCGACGATGCGCGTAAAGCTGCTGCTGCTGTACCACCCGACGGCGCGACGTCGAGCTTGCACATTGTGCTTTGTAAGCGAATGCGCGCGAGGAAAAGTCTATTATTGCTATGGCGAGGGAGAAAAATTGTTGTGGGAGAAAGGGCGGATTTTTAAATACATTTTTGGCATTTGAATTGCGTATTAAATCGAAAGCTGAGTACAATTCAAAAGTTTTTTCTTTGGATCCCCGATGAAAATTTTTGAACGTGACAATTTTAAATGTTTTAAATAATAGTAATATTAACTAACTATTTTCTGACGATTTTTTGGATACAGTTATATTGAAAATATTAAACGTGTTTGAATAACCGAAAAATAACAATCACTTTGAATCTCTACCACCAGATGGCGAGTATCTTAACATCAGTAAATCTACAAGTGCCAAAGTAAAAATAATCTTATAATTTCAGAGTTCTAATCGCGGGCTCTAACCTTTGAAATGTCATAAAAAAAGAGATATGCTCCCAATACCTAATCAACTATATTACGGGACCGAACCGTAACTCGACAGCCGCATCGAAGCCAAAAACCGCGGCAAAAAAGTTGCGCGCTGCGCGCGTTACACTTTATACGTGTATATAAATACTGCATACGTATAGCTAGGAGAGAGACAAAGAGGCGCAAAGCCGACATTATATTGAATTCGCGCGGTTCCGGATGCTGATCGTTCGATCGGCGCGTGGTCCATGACGCGAGACACAGAGAGAAAGCTCGACGCGCGTATACATATCGTGTGTATATGTGTATGTGTGTGTGAGTGTGTACTATATCGTAACCCGCGGCGGCAATTACCTTAATGGTCGGGTAAACAATATTCGAAGCGCAGCGCATACATGCAGACACGCACTCACACACACACAAACGCACCCGAGTACCGAGAGTTAAGAGCGTATATATAATACGCGAACAAAGTGTGTGTGTATGTGTGTGTGGCTTCCACTATACATACTGACGAACTCGCAAACAGTGCAGTACGCCTCGTACGTATATATATCTCTCTTGCTGCCTCTTTCTCGCTTCGGCTCGGGCCTCTCTCTCTCTCTCTCTCGTCAATATCACGGTGAGCGGCTTCCACCCCTTTCAATTCCACTACTACCACCATCAGCACCAGTCAGCCAGCCAGCCACCACCACCACTACTTCGCTCCACTCGACTCGATGCCATTTATATTCCCTCCTCTACCTCACTCACTCACTCACTCTCACGAAGCCGTAGAGAGACTGTAAATTCCAAAATTGTCTGCTAATGTGTCGGTACGATTATTATACGTGTATACTCGCTGCTGCTGGTAGTATAAAGCGAAGGGAAATTCGGGGCTTTATGTACACGCTGGATGGATCTTAATGCGATTGGTTAGCGGGATGATAATATAATGATGACGATATTATTTTAACGATTGGCCGCTGCTGGTTTATTACATATACCCATCGCGGAGAGATTGTTGATTTTGCTCTGCGAGCGTATGTATTTGACGAGTAGATATTTTTTTCTACTACTATCTTCAAAATTCGAATACTACATCAATGATTTGTGTACTACTATATACAGACTTACTTGATCCTGAAACTTCGCTTTTTCTCTTGCGACTGTCGAGATTTTGGGCATGCGCCATCTAGCGGTTAAATAGGTGTACCACTTGATTGTTTTGCTCGCAACCAAAATTTTAGAAAATACCTATTCCTGTTATCGGCTTGCGTACACGTGAGCTTTAAAGCTGCAGATTTGGCTGTCGTTGTCCAAGTCCCGATCGCCGTCGTCGTCGCATCTTCGCTATCTCCCGAGCCTGTGTGCTTACATACGCACTTAAGCGCCGATCGAGCTACGAGCGAGAGACTCGCCTCTACGGCTGGGTCAAGCGTCAACATCATCAAATTCCTATGTATATGCCTGGCGTTGAGCATACTTGAGAACGTCGCTCGCAGCAAGATAAAGCTCCGCTGCTCGCCGCAGTCTGTTTATAGGCCCGCGTGTGCGTGCCAGTAACAATGACTCTCTCTCTCTCTCTCCCTCTAGACCTATAGTCCGCGCAGCGCTCAAGACGTTACAAGCTCGAGCTAAATTAAAGACAAACCACTTTGGGCTGCGCGCTCGTTTACGTGTCCTCGATGCACGAGTGAATATGTATCACGTATCGTAAGAGCGAGCCTGCAGTGTTTGCGTGTGCATGTGCTGGTGCCTTTATATCGATGCCGAGAGACATCGTTGTCAAGCTCGAGAGAATAAAGGATACGTGAGAAATGAAAGTGTTAACTCGAGGAAGTATGGATTTTAAGCGATTCGAGAAGAATAGAGCTGATTTTATTCATGAAAAATACAGACAATCTTGACAACAGAGTGACAATTAACCGACTGAAGTGTAAGGTGTTCAGTGTAACTTATCCAATTATTTTAACTTTGCCACTTGCGGATTAACACACAATGAGTACTCGCCATCTAGTGGTAAGGTCTTTTAAAAGCATGCTTGACATTTGTAACGTAATAGCACCAGAAAAAGTACGAAAAATAAACAATACAATGCTGATTTATTTCAAAAAAAAGTTCGACTGCGATGTTCATTATCCGCGAATTTATTTATTTTTAAAACTTATACAAAATTCATAAAATTTACAAAATCAGATCGCGCGCGAGCATCGGGTTACGATTAGAAAACGCAACAATCGTACCACGAAATATTATTTCCCCTTCCCTCGTCTTGCAGCTTCTCTCATCCTCCATCTCTCTTTCGCGTACCCATTCCTTTATGCATATCGTATTATATACACGGCCGCTGCCGCGCTCGCAAAGTTAATTCATCGAGCTCGCTAGCGCGAGTATATAATACAGCGAGCGCGGCAATCTCCCTCTTTTCTCAGCTCCGCAGCTCGAGCTTTCCTCGGCGTGAGTCGCAAAGCTACATCGTCGTCGACGTCGTGCTATATACACCCTCTAAAATTTTCAGGAGCATAAAGTGCCGCGTCTCGTTTAACTCGTTTAACTTTCGGCGTTGGCGGAAGCAGCAGCTCACAGTACCAGCTATACTATATATAGCTGGTAACCGAGGCGGTGGCCACTCTAATCCAGGCAAGCAAAATTTAAGCGATCTCAAGTACCCAGCACTAGTAGTAGTAGGTAGGTAGTAGGTAGTACCTCCCCCGCTGCCGAGTATAGACACGGGTTAATACACGTCGTCAAGATCAAGCTCTCCGCGCTCCGTTGCGACCAGAGCGATAACGACTCGAGCTGCCGCTGCTGCTGCTCACTCTCGAGCTACATCATATACACACACGACCATGGTCGTCTCTCTCTCTCTCTATGTGTGTGCAGTATAGCAGTCCGCGCGCGTATTATATTATAACGGCGCGAGGCAGGCGGAGGGGTCGCACAACGCGCGAATTTCTCGGCTTGGATATTACGCTGCTATATCCTTGCCACGTCCGCCCCCACTCCTCCTCCGCTGCCGCCGAGGGTAGCTGCTGCTGCTGCGAATTAGTAGTAGTGGGGCGGCGCGCCATTGGAGCTTTCGCTCGCGAGCTTGCGGACACGCCCTGCAGCGGCAGCGAGGCGTCGACGTCGGCTCCCCGTTGGCTCGCGCGCGGTGCGCTAGCCTCGACACATCCCCCTCTACATTACTTCTCTCTCTGTGAGCGCTGGTACATACGTACGACGATGCTGCTGTGAGGCGAGCGAGCAAGAGAGAAGATTTTCTACTGCTACTGATTCAATGCCGGCCGCCCCAATCCGTGGAGCAGCTGCAGACAAGATCTCTCGCTTTTCGAGGCTCTTTGCGAGTGCGATTTCGGACCGCCGGCGAGAAGCAGCAGTGATATCTTTAGTTGCGCGTCCGCAAAGCTCTCTATCTACCTATCTATCCGTCTATCTATCTCTGTCTCCGTTTCTCTCTCTCTGTCTCTTTTTCTGTTTTTGCGTGTATCGTCGTCGGCTCCCGGGAACCACCCTTGAGCTCTCACGCGGCCACTACCACCGACATTGTTTCGTCGGACGAGCGAAAGCACGCACACGCGCGTCACGCAGCGGTAGTCAACTGTCTACTGCTAGACTGTCTTGCAGTCGATGTCGACTGCAACGAAGTTTTCTTTGTTACAACATAGTACTTCGATTTGATTTTCCGTGTAAAAAGCTGGTGAACGAAACATCGTGCGCGAGTGCCCCGAAAGCAAGGGAAAAATATTTTGCGAGTGATATGATTTGACAGATGGACAAGTGTATCTGCGAGTGAAATTGCAAGTATGCCATAGTAACAGTTTTCTATTACCATCGATCGACGTAACGACTACGCATGCATCATTGAGCATTTCGAGAATGATACGAGAAAATATAATCATCGTGTGAAAAAGCGAGACGTTGGCGCCCAACAAAAACGAAGCAAAGATGAGGCCAACAACAGCGATTGTCACGTGGTTGTCGGACTCGCTGCTGCTCCTTGCGAAAACAACGGAGCGGCCTGGAAGGCATTAAGGGGCTGCTCCTCGGCGCTGTCACGTGCGCTCCTGTGTGTGTGTGCGTGCTTGCGTGCGTGCGTGGGTGTGCGCGAGTGCGTAGGTGCTCTCGAGTGGTGTCATGTGGAGAATGCAAGAGTCTCGAGTGTCGAGCACAGAGACGATGTCACCCCTGGGGCCTCCCGTGCAGCAGCAGCAAATCGACGAGGTCCACGTCGAGAATAATAACGGATCGGCCCTCAGGCCCGTGCGACCCGGCGATAGGCAGCGTCATATGCAGCAGCTGCTGCAGGTACGGTCTATGACGGACAACGCGTCGTCGTTCGTCGTTGGCTCGCGTTACAACGAGCATCTGCAGAGTCGTTTGCTCTCTTTGTCGTCGTCGGACTCGACTCGGAGCAGCAGCAAACTCGACGAGGCAGACTCCGTCAGAGCCGCCGCCGAGACCACAGAGGACGATGAGCTCAGCGAGGACGAGGAAGCCAAGACGACGACGAAGCTCGCGAGGCTCGAGGACGAGCAAGACGAAGTGGATGACGTGGATCGCGAAGTGGATAATAAAAGAAACATTAATCGGAACGATGTGCAGAGTGCGGGTGAGCAGCAGCAACGGGACGTCGACGTGGAAACGGACGATGTCGAGGTCGACGTGTGCCGCGACGACGACGACGACGACGAAAACGTCGAAGTCGACGCTTCGGCGGCTCCCACTGCCGTCAGCGCCGCCGAGAGCAATCCCAGCAGTCCCGTCGATCTAACGGCGAGGAGCAGCAGCAGCCAGGATCAGCCGCAGCATCAGCAGCTGGCCCCGGCTTCCCAATTCGTGCATCCTTTGGCGAGTCGCGCCGGTCTGCACGCGTTCACGTGTCTGGCCAACGGCATGCCCGGCACCATAGTACCGGGACACTCGCCCCTCGTCAACAACAATCATCATCATCATCAACACCCCCATCATCATCCCCATCACCCTCACCACCACCACCCGCATCATCATCATCATCATCATCACGGGCACCCGCTTGGCTTCCCGACGGTCTATCATTTGGCGGCAGCAGCGGCCGCCACGACCGCACCCCATCAGCCACAAGAACAACAACAACAAGTCTCCTCGATCGCCGGCAAAAGCACGACCTGCACCACGACGATGACCACGTCGACTCAGCAGCAACAGCAGCAGCAACAACAAACAGCTCAGACTGGTCAGACGACGACGACTCAGCAGCAGAAGAGGTGCCTGGCCTTCTCCGTGGAGAACATCCTCGACCCGACCAAGTTCACCGGCGGCAGGCTGTCGTTGCACGCCAGTGGCGGCAGGCCGTCGCATCATCGCAGACGCAAGCGCAGCGGCAGCATTCACGAAGGTAAATTATTTCATTCTAGTGCATCGAGGGTAGGGCGGTATAATTTGTACGTATTTAATTAAACACTTGATAAATCTGTATATCATTTGGGTTCACATATCACATATAAGCGTGCAATCCGAGTGTCGGTCGTTTTGAAAGTCAGAGAGAAGAAGAATTGAAAACAAACAAGCCTCATTCATCGCGGATATTATATGTACAGCACGAGAGCGACTCGCAAAAAATTAGCTAACGCGTTTGTAGAGCGAGAAAAAAGAAGAAGAAGAAGGCGAAGAAGAGCTTACACACGGTATATGAATTCCTTCGCGTCGACTTTTTCATTCGTATTTCACGCGCATCGCTTCTCTCTCGCTCCCTATTTACGCGCTGAAATACACATCAAAAAACCGCTCGGCGATTTTGTCAGGCGCATTTCCTCGTTTCTAAAAATAGCCGCCCGTACAGCCACAGGGCCAAAAAGGACATATCATAGCGCGCGACGTTTTTTTCACTCGTAATAATTCCGCTCGTAGACTACTCGTTTGAATAATTTGTGACCGATTCCGCAAAAAAATCGAGCTCGAAACGAGCCGCTTATTATATACCATTCTAAACAGCTTAAATACGAACGGTCGTTTCGCATCGATGATCTCGGCGCGCGTCGCTCTCGAGTCTTTTTGGAGCTTGCAGCACGAGCTTCCGAGAGAGTGGATGTACGTAAAATAATAAGGGAAACAACAAACATGTGCTGTGTTTGAGCCAAGCGTAAAATATGCCATCTTTTTCGGCCGAAAATGAGGGCCTTAATTGATCGCTCGGCGGCACATATCTAAAAGCTCTCGCGCCCGCGCGTGTGACACACGTGACACTCACACATATACTTACTCGATAGCCGCGAATCCTCGATACGTATACCCTCGTAAATCACTTTTTTATGCTCGCTCGTTTCTTTTTTCTGCTCGTTCTTTCTAACGCACATCGTATTAATATGATTTACGACGAAAACTAGCCGAAACAAGCGCATCAACTTCGTTTATGTAAATTTGAATAATTCGCCAGCTCTCGCTCTCTCTCTCTCTCTCTCTCTTGTACCGCTCGGCAGAGTGGCGTACGTATATAGTGGATATTTGTGGAATATCAAGCATGCCTCTGTCAACGCCTATACAGCAGCAACTGCAGTCGCGCAGCAGCAGCAGCAGCAGCAGCCTCAAAGCGTCAGAAACTTAGTTGTCTCGGGCAATAACGATCAGGCGGTAACTGCATGCCTCTATGTGTGTGTATATATGCGTGTAGGATCTGTCGACGCTCTCGCCACTGCCTGTTTTGATAAGCGATCTACTTTTTGCTCCGAGCAAGTAACGAAATAATTTTGGGGAAAATATGTCTGCGACTCGAATTAATTTCCCTTTTTTACCAATTTTATTTTCTTTCGTTGCTTCATCCGCATCTCTCTCTCTCGCGTGTTTATCATCGTTTGGCGCGCGAGGCAAACGTCGCAGCTGCTTAAAGAGAACAATTAATTAGCGCGAGCTCGAAAATGGAAAAGCGACGTGTGATGCGCGTATTTGTATGTATAATAATATAAGCCGCGTGAGCTTCGCGTGTGCCAAAACAATTTTGCATCGCCGCGAGTTTCCGTCCGTTTGTGCTGTGCCGTATGTGTCCTTAAAATACATAAGTTTTTCAACTAATCAGCTGCTGTTTTCCGCGCATGCGACGCTCAACCCGCGCGGCACAACAAATCACCGACTTTATTTTAAACGCTGAAGCAATTACGCGCCGAGAGGAAATTAAATTTGGCAAGTGTATTATATTATTATGCGACGATGAATAATAATAAGCTGTTAAGATGTGTGCGACGCTGTTCGATACATTTTTTTTTTCCAAAAAATTAATTGACTATATCAATTACGGTCAATCGCTCGGCTCGACGAATTATATTATTAATTTGTCAACTGTTACTTTTTTTTGGGGAACCTGAGCGCTCGACTCTCGCGACGGATCGCTTGATTTCGCACTGCGAAAAAGGAACGGGTTCACGTATAACGAGTGCCAAAAATGCCAGTCGATTTAATCGAGGTAATTGCCACCGATTCGAATAATGGACGCCATTCAGGCAGGCACATTCAGGCGCGAAACGAGTCGAGAGCGTGAAAATTCGCAATTGTCCATTATACCGTCCGACGTTAAGTCATACGTATATAGGTGTAATAATAGGCGCGGCGACCCTTTATACCGTACGAATTTCTTCTCGCGTTTCTCGCGATCTAGACAATGTATATTATCGTCGTAAATAACGCGTGTCGAGTTTTCTTACTTGCGCGTATGTGTGTGTGTGCCATCATCGACCGGGAGTAACTGTGAGATACATGTCATATATTGTGTATAGTGTCTCAATGGTCCGTTCCGAGAAACAAAAACGTATTACACACAAAATGTATACGAGGGCTACCGCTGCTACTGCAGTAGAGCTACCAAGACGAATCACCTAGCGGATTTATATTTCCTTCGGCCCGATGTATGAAGTGGCCCAGTCACTTTACTCGAGAGGCCAGCAATTATATAGCATTCTGATATTAGGATACTTTATGGCTAAATAAATACACCCTATGAAATTTTTTGCCACTTGCGAATTCACGATACTCCATCTGTCGATGGTATCATGAAGCTCGCGATAAAGCATGCATGCAAATATTATGTATACGTAGCCATTTACGCACTGCCGAAAAGAAGACGTTAGCGCAGATTTAACGTAAAGTCAGACGTTAAAAGTTGAGTGATGTTAACTAAACTTTATTGCGGTTACATGAAGTCATCATTGAAAATTAATTCGTGTTGATTTTTTTGGAAACGCAAAGTGTACAAAAATAAATTAAAAAAAAATGCAATCTTATGATTTATTTTTAATGCATAAACGCAGTTCTATATTTAAATTTATAAATTCTGATTAAAAATTGCCGTTTAAAAACTGATTTCTTATTTGCGATATTTTTTGAAAAATTCATGAAGATTCAATCAAAATTAAGGACAATCTCCACCGCTAGATGGCGAGTACCCTATAACTGTAAATCCACAAGTGGCAAAGTCAAAATAAGTGTATAAGTCTGTAAATTGGTATGTAACTGAAATGGATATATTTTGATCAATAATGATCATCAATTTTGTGTATACTGAAAGGCTAATTTCGAATACTCGCGCGCAATATACCTATACGCAAGGTCAGCAAAACTTCTTTTCATTCGATATACGTATTCCAATGATTCGATCGTCGCAATCTCGAGCGCGACTGATGTTTACGATCGAGTATAAAAAAGCTCAAAAGCTCTATCGTCATTCGACAATGGCGTTGCTTTCGAATTTCACGCGATCCACGTGCTATACCTTTCTCTCGAGTCGCTAAATTTAGGCTCACCCACGCGCATCTTCAATGGGAGTGAACGAAAATTTTTGGTAATTGAGCTGATGCGCTCCGCGTACAGAGAACGAGAAAGAAAGTATATTTACGTATACGCGCGCTTGATTGCTGCCAGTGTTATTAAATATAATATACACACACACTGCGCGACTCTCGAGCGCTTTGCATTAGCTTAATTAATTTATATTCTCTAGCTTTTACAATTATACACAGATATACATGCGTGTAATGTAGGTTACGCGTACGCCCCCGCCTAAGTATATAACTGTTCTCTTGATTAATTCTTTGAAGTTATCATCATCGTATTAAATCACGCAGCGCGCAGTGAGTGGGAGTACGCAAAAGAGAGTCTCCGATACACACACACAAACGCGAAAATAAATAAAGGAATATGCGCACGAGCTTCGGTGCAAGTACGTATATTTCACGACGAAACGCGAAGCGAGAGCTTTCGCTCATTATTTTACACTTAGGACGATAATGGCACCCCCTCCGAGGTTATTATACACGAGTGTCCAAACACGTACGTGTATATATAACGCGTGACACGACTCGGCAAACAAAAGGAAGAAGAAAAAGGTGCGCCGCACACGGAAGCTTCGCGTATATACTTATATATAATACCGCTTGGAACAGTGTCGACGTATACGCAGAGGAAAGCGATGAGAAAAAGCTCGCCTAGTCTCTCTCTCTGTCGGCTGTCGGAGCGTGACAAATCGTCGAGCTAATCTGCGTTAACCAGCCTTTGAGCCCCGGCGCGCGACGTCATTTTCCATCGTTATATATATCCCTTCTCTCTCTTGACGAGTCGAGTGCGGCTGCATTATTAAAGCAGTCCGTGTTGGATTCAAGCTTCTCTCTCTCTCTCTCTCTAATTCGATTTTCACCCGAAAGTTACATCCCGCGCGCATCTTCGGACAATCATTCGACCATCGAGCATTCTCCTGTCGATTTGATATTATTTTTTTTTCGTATCCGAAAACGCATATATATTTTTTTATTTATAATATAAATCTCTTCAGTCGGCTAGCTTGCGAAGCAAAGAGAGAGAGAGAAAAAGGAGAATCGAGTGCAGAGGAATGATCGGGGATGATCGCCGCTGCCACGCGCGACTATAGATGTATTATACACGTACATCGGCGCATCAATCATATCGGGCGTCCGCAGCCAGTTCGTTTCCCCATTAAAACTGCATCAGAGCTGCCGACTGCCGAGCGTAACACCACCACCGCCACAGTTACGCGTGTGTATGCGCGCAAATCCATTTGGAATTTCGACTACTGAACACACACACACACACACACACACACACACACACGCGCGCATGGATGTATAATCACAGACAGACATTGGTGCCCGAGCCCGGGAATAATATCCACGCGCGCGCACACACGTTATATATACAATACATATATATACGCGAGAGCTGTTATGATAATCGTACTACGCTCGGGATATGTGTGTGTGTGTAGGACGAGAGAAAGCAAGCCGCCCAGAAAATTGGCTCTCAGGCACTGCCGAATGATTCGTGGAGCGCGCGCGGAGCAGGGCGAGAATCACAGCGCACACACACACACACACACACACACACACATACACCAACTAC